AAAAACCTGGGTGGCCTTGACATAAACACAATTGGAAAGCCATATAAAATCATGTCAAGGTCGGTCTATCTTGTCCATACCATATTCAATAGAGTCCGTCGAATTCGCACTGATGACACGAAAACAAACGAGATCAGATCTGATGCACAATACATGGACAATAAATGGTTATCCCGTGAAATTTGTGGACATTGCGCGGGAAATTGAAGGTTTAAAAGTTTGCTGTTGCATCAGGGTCTTGAATGGAGGTCACGATTCATCTCCCATTCCAAGGTGATGATGTAAATAATCTATTTCATTAACCATTAAGAGCTCATGTCAACCGGACGCAACCAAACTCAGAATTGTGCACAGAGCAAAGAGCATATCCGTCCTCCAGTTGCAGAACGCCCACCTCTGTATGCCAACTCAAATATAATCTATCAATTCCAATGTGCTTGTGGTGAAACATTGGCAGAATAGAAAAGCAGCTGTGTAATTGGCCTTAGAACATATTTTGAACAACGTTCAACTCTAGGTTGCCCAGTTAAGTTTTACACATCGAGGAACGGGCAAGTACCATGCTTACAAAACATCAAACTCTTCGATTTCTAAGCAGTTCTTGATGACAAAATAACTCGTTGATTGAGAGAGAGTTTATCAAGTGATTCATGCTAATGATAACGCCAGAATGCTCAAGATCGCCGAGGCGATTGTAATCAAACTACAGAAACCAATCTTTTGTCAGCAAACAGACTTTTTGATCACTCTTGCCTTGGTGACCCCTTTTTCGTTCACATTTGTTTATTTTGTAATCCATTCCAAAACCTTATATTAAATACTGTATTTTTCTGCAACTTGGTATGCAAACTTATTTTTGATCAGTTAAAATAAAAGAATCACAATAGCACTTAAATAGTTTACTCATTTATTCAGAGTTCCCTTGGGTTTGAAAGAATCAATATGACACTGCCGCCCAACCATTTCTTAAATCAGACCTATCAATCAGCCAGTCGCAGACCACAAGATTGGATACATTTCTGACGTTGTGGGAATGTTTTCAGTGACTTCCTGTTTGGATTAAATAGCACAGGAATAGCAGACGCCTGTGTGAAAAAGGAATGCGTGGGTGTATCCAGGCAGACAATAAAACTGATCAAGCTTTGACAGTTCTGAGGTTGACTACTTCGGCTGAAAATGCGGTGCGCTGCACACACATGGTTCTCAGACGACTGTAGAAAAGATAATTCCTGCCGCCTTAACTCAACCCATAAAGTATGCGATGCGCAATAGCGTAGGAGGCGTGCGTGGATGGGTTCAATTCCATCCTGGGCTACTGATTTCTCTATGATCAAAACAGAAACCGTTTTCTTCCCCCTTGCAGGCAAACAAAATTAGTGAAACTCAGAATCTCTGAATAAAAGATTTGAAACACTTACCCGCATTGCACGGCCAGCGGTGAGGATATGATTCTATTCTACTATCGGGCTCATAACCGATTTCGCATCGACAAGTGAGCATATCGGTTAAACGTAACGAGTTCAAGCAGACACCATTTGTCCCACAAACTGGTTGACCGTTTTTGAAACATCCTTGTTCCGATCTTTGACAACCTTGACTAGATTTTTGCCCCCATGTTGCGTCATAGAAGTCTAAGTACTGAAAAAAACAGGAAATGATTGTGTAAATAATGAATGTACACTCAAGAACTTTCTATGCTACAGAAAAAACGTGTACAAAACCAGGCGGACATCTATCTTTGTGTTTGTGAATAGATCAAGGTATTCTATATTTCATCAGCAACCTTCTCCTGCAAAAGCCGCTGTTTATTGTGTAAAAAAACAAGAAGAGTTTTTTAAAGTCTGTGTTGTCGTACGCATGATGACTGTCGGTGAAACAGAAGTAATATTAATTGCTCTAATCATTGTGTTACCATGGTTTTGATCCAGACTGTCCTCCGCACTCTTTCTTCTGCAAGCGTTAACATAGACTATTCATTTATTGCATGTTGTTCGGGNCGGGATAGGCAACTCGGACAAGATGTGCTTCTCCGTAATTTTCTTCAGTTGAACATAGATATTCTATTCACCTTATACCATTTTACTATCATCCTGCGAAATTCGTTTTATCCTTGAACTGGTAACTTTGGTCCCAATAATTTTACCTCAATCAGTGATTGGAACAGAAGTATGAAGGAATGGAACTGATACATGGATCTTGTCGCTTATGTATGAACATAAATCTAGACACTCCTCAAATCTGTGTCGCAACGGTAGCATTGTGGTTGCGTGTATGCACAATGACAGTGTTCTTACGTACTGGGTAGTTTTCACCATGTCAAAAAATCACAGGTAAACCCAATCACACGTCATTGATGCCAAAATTTATCCGTTCCGTTCCATTTAATGTATACTAACTCTTTGAACTAATTGAAGATTAAGTCAAGCATTTTTTCAATTTTTATGTTTGACAGAATTAACGTGTGATTGGTAATTATGGAAAAGAAAACTAGAAGTTTTCTACGAGAAGTGCATAAATAAAAAGTATTTTCATGTCAATTCGATTCCAGCATTGTAAGAAGTAATCCAGATTATTTCACAAATTGTGATTCACTTTCCCTCAACTTTTACGATGCTGTTTGCCATGAACCTATCATGTGAGCAGTGTGATCCGCATGATTTAGTTGCAGCTGCACATGAAACGTAGAACAATTCACGTTATTTCTCTGTGGTATGTGTTGTTTACAAGTTTCACAGAGAAACAGTCGACTGGTTATTATCCAAATGCTCTCGTTATTTTAATGAGAACTCAATGCTCCATTCCAGTCAATAGGGATTCCATCACTCTTGAAGGTTTAGTTATTCCTGACCGTCAATTTTTCTGACGTGACTGTGCGACGTCAACGTCAGATCATCCTCCACTACCCTACATTTTACATCGTGTCTGGAAAATGAGCACACGAAAAACAAGAGAAAAAGTTTGAATCCTTTCGTATGAGAGAGATAATCTTAAGTCCAGTTTGACACATCAGAAACGGACGACAGATTTGCCAAGACATAGTCCAAAATTTTATTTTCGCCAACGCTTACAAAGCTGTTTAAGAGAGATTTTCCACAGAATACAAGGAACGTATTGTGCTGTGTTAAGTTGATAAACTTGATCTATCCACATCCTGACCAAAAGGAAAAAACGTCTGTTGTCGAAATGACTGTCTTCAGATTAAGAGGGACCTTTTATCACAGAATATCTAAACACGACTGCATTTGAAGCTTAATTTGTTACGAGCAAAAAAGATTTATTCTATGAAGTGTTAGATTTCTAGTGAACTAGTGCTCTTTCAAGCTTTTTTTAACTTTTAGCAAAATGGCGCAGATTCGGAGCTGACATTTTGAACGTTAGTCAAATTTTGATCAAAGTTTTGTTAGCAGAACTTATTACACTCTCATGATTCTCTTGTCCCCATAGAATAGTTTCACAACTGACCAGTATCTCAGCTAAAATGATAAATGATACATATAGTTCCATAAACTCTAGGCTTGAATGGAGTAGTCTGTTTAACGTCAAATGTACACCGATAGCAAACGTGGGAACAATCCTGATTTAAACCGACCAAGGAAGCGCCCAAGCAAGCAGACATTCTTCACAGCATAGGAGTAAGCCTTGGCTTAACTGATCCGACAGTTTGATTATTCGTGAACAAGTATACCTAAGTCCTTCTCATCTGAGGTATGCAGCAGATGGTGATTTCCTAGCAAATAGGAAAATCTACTCCTGTGGCGTAGGGATCGAACATTTGGTTACGAAATATTGAATTGAATGGTTTTCTTCATTAACTTATAACTGGAATGTTAGCTCCGGTGCTTGCAAAAGTTATACACAATACACAATACAATACAATACAACCATTATAAACTACGTTCAGTTTCTCTTTGAATGTCAACGAGAAATCGGGTTCTGTTACTATATTCCACATTTTAGCGTCGTCTACAACCAGAATTGCTTTCGGCCCTAACGCATTTGTTACGTCATTTATGAATGCGAGGATATGTCGGGGACCGAGTATGGACCCTTATGGAACCCCCCGGTAAATTTTGATTAAACCGGATCCGGGATCAGAAAGACACACTGATATCGTCCCTTGTTGGATAAATGCTCTAATCCAATCAAGCATAAAACCTTAAATGCCTTAATTGTAGAGCTTCTGCAATAACATTTGATGATTAATCCGATCAAACGCTTTCGAATAGTCCAAATAAATCAAATCCAACTCATTCCCTTCGTCGACGGCTCTGGTCCGTTCATCTCGAACAGGAAGCAACTTGGTGGAACATGATCAATTTTGCCGGAACCCATGTTGAACCGGTATTCTGCCACAACTGACTCCAGGACTTTCGACAAAACTGTGAGGAGAGTCACAGGTTGGTAGCTAGCGGGATCACTACGACAACCACCTTTGAATATAAGGGAAAATAACTCCCTGTTTCCACAAATTAGGGCAGATGTGCTGTTTGGTCTCAGATCCTTTGGGATAGAATGGCTGGTGACTCGGAAATGGGTGAGTCACCAAAAATATAAGAGAATTTGGGAATATAGTTTCGTACCTTATATTTGATTTTTTCGCAAAGCCATCAGTTTGCTTTGACTGCATTCAATAGGTCAGTGAAGGATATCAAAGATGATGCAACGGACAAGGAAGGTGTAGACCATAAACATGGGGTTTATTTCAGCTGCTTCCGGTAGAGTGGCTGCAGTTATCGCCGAGAAGTTCAGGACGGGTTTACCAAACTTTCCTTATATAACAGCTTGGGTTAGAACTGAATCTCTGCGCAAGCTCCTCTTGATACATCAGCCTATTCTCACGAACCAGCCTGGTGCAGTGCTTTCTCAGCTTGCGATTACCATTCCAGGTAATGACATCCGGAGGACATTTATGATTTCACTGGAGTGGTTTACTCATATATATCCATTTCCTCGTGCGACTTCGACTGGGTAACCTCCGGATGCCAGATTTGGTGATTACTCTAGTCATAGTCACTTATATTAGTAGATTCGTAAGACTCGATAAACTTCTGCCAGGAGACCAACGGATTGGGTTCTTCGCTATGGGGAGCCTACAGAGTAAAGAGCATCAAGCTTTTGCAACCGTGTATAATCTAAAAACCTGTTTAGAGAACTTTCTTCAATAGAAGAGTAACAAATGTATTTGAATGAAAGTACTACGTGATCGCTCCGTCCTAGAGGCCAAGTCGCGTTGACGGTTCATACTATCAGCTCTTCGCTTATCGATTCTAAATCCATCACTACGATACTACACCTGGACGTGGTGTGATGGCTTGTGCACCTCTGTGACCTAACGAGCTACACAGGATGGCTTTATAAAGCCAGGAGATCTTATCATGCCTGGAAGGTCCTCAAAATAGATCAAACCCCTGTCCATCTTAAGCTTTACCACTAACATGTATGCATTGTGAGTTTGGCAGCGGTCAGTGAAGTTCGCTTCACGGTATTTCGCTGTACGATGATGATGATGATGATTCTAAATCCAGTACCGAGAGCGAATGCATTTTTCCAAACCTGGTAGCCTCCTTCAACTGGTTTTGCAGCGTATGCGAGTCAACTAGCTGTTTGAACTGATGTTCGAGTAATGGATGGAAAATGATACGTTTATTGAGATTAGGACAATCTTTCGATTGGAGCTTGCTAATAGTACCTTCCGAAGAGGGGTTGTTTTGGTACCTATGATCCAGCACTGGTCTCAGGTACAGTTCTGGTGGACCTCCGTTCTTTCTCTCCCGCGATGAGTGCAAACGGTGGTGGTCATTTCCGGAGTACTACGAGTAACAATCAGTATCTTTCGACTGCAAACATGATAGTTTGGTAAACAAGAAAACTGAGTGGTTACCGAGGTGACAATAGTGTTACATTCTGGTTAATCCGGTATGAATTCCCACTCATTGCAATCACTTTGACAACCTTCGGATTCCTTTGCATCTTTTAGCTGTAGAATGCATGGATGTGTACGACCCTTTTATTTTCAGTTTTCCGCACACTCTTCGGACTAGCGCTATTGAACAAACGCTATCCATGGTCCGTTAGACAAGATTCTTATTTTAGACTGGTTATTTCTCAGGCAATTAGAAAGAAGAACGATTGTGACATACAGTTTCTTTGCTTTTCATGGCCGCTCAGAGCGATCTTGCTTCTCCAGTGTGAGGCGGGGACCGCTGAAATATAAGGCGCAAGAAGTACACACGTTGTATTTTGATACCGCATGACCCATTCCGGTAGCCAGGCTCTTTCGTTTAACTCTCTTTAAGGATTGTGCAATTGGTTGGGGAACATTCGGGCAAATGACTGTAGAAGTAGTGTTGCTTGCATCTTTTTTCACCATTGTTTGCAGTTTATAAGCTCGACTGAGAGTTTTCGTTTGGGAAGAGGTGTTTACTGACTCTGGAAGAGTGCTTGTGTTCCTCGATGTTTTTTGGGCAATACTTCTCATATCAGTAGTGTGTGTGAATTACGTTTCGGTGGTACTGGCTAGGGAATAATGAGGACGTTTTTAACAGTCCCTGAGTCGGTCTCGCACGAGTAACCCGTGGACTCAACACTGCAATCTTTTTTAATGTGATAATTTTCACATTTGCTCTTTCTTCAGTACCGAAAGCCAAATTTTCAAAGCTGTTTGAAATACCTATTATGCATTTGATATTAGGAGTCTTGAAGCAATTTGTTCAAAATCGAAACGAACTCATTGTGACTGAGTCATAATGTACAGCACAATATCCAGGACTGTTTGCAAGTATCAGTCACGATGGAAACGATGGAGAAACAGACACGCACAAGCGTGATTAGGAATGACATACAATTGGAAAAGGAAACGTATATATCCGTATCTGTGGTGAAAAAGGCAAATAGTAACAAATAAAGTTTCATTAGATAGAGCGTGGAACTACGGGTGGACTGCAATTTTTCTGGTCTTAATGTAACCGAAAAATCGGTTAGGACAACTGAGCGGCAGAAGTGTGTGATACTTGCGATGTATGACCAGAAAATGCATATCACTCGATGGAGCACACGAAACGGAGTCGAATTAGTGTTGCTCAACAATATTTGGCGGAAAAATTCACTAAAACCGATAGCGCACAAAAATTCACTAAAAGCGATAGCGCACAAACTAGTCAACCACAGAGCAGGAGACATATTGTTGGGTCATTCGTTATATGTAGGATAGAAAACAGAATCTCATTAGAGCTGAATTTGGAGTGTTGCACTTCTACAGAACTGTGACCTTTGCACGTTTGGTCCGTTTCGGGGAACAATTGCCACCGGTGATCTTTCCAATGCACACAAATACCAAGCGGTTGAGAAAGTAAACTAAACGGAGCATAATCACTTACCACACCGTTTATGTTCACTTTGTCAATGCATCCGTTGAAAAGCGCTGTGTTAGCTGCTGTATCGGAGCCCAGTTGAACCTTTCCGCCGAAGGTGAATGGAGCCGACGAAACGGACAAGGACTGTTTCTGAACACAATCGCTGAAGCTAGAAGAGCGGCACCAGTCCGTCATCAAATAGACGGTAACGGTGCCGAGAGACTGATTGGGGGCAAAAGTGATCACAGCACCAAATCATGATATGCTAAAATATTTGTTGTAATGATGGATAACGTGATGCGATATTTTTATGAAGTCTACAATAAATGTTGGAGGGGATTTTTTATTCCAATTTTAGATCCTACACGATACTGGGCTCAACCAAAAGTATATAAAGTTTTTGAGAGCTTGCTAAGTAAAACAAAAGACCGATATAATGGCATCAGGAACATCCGCTCCAGAGCGTGTACATCACTGCTCTACAAAAAATACTCTCGGGGTCGAAAATCCTTACTCCAGTGTCAACATTTTATTACCATCAAATATACCGAAACAGCTTCGTATCATCATCAAGCAACGGAGAGAACACGCTTTTAAATCTTGTCAATGTCGACAGCTACGCAAAAACATGAAACTAGCGAAAAAGAATACAACCGCAAAAGGGACCAAATTCTAATCAAAGATACCTTCAGATGTTAAACCCTAAAAACCTGTTTAGAAATCTTTGTGATAGGATACTGACATCTACGAAATTACAACTACTACTCAAGGGCCTGGAATTCAAATTGGAGAGGAAATCCCCAGAAATACATAAAGTGGTTTCTTCACCAGAGTAAGCATTAACAATGGTTTCAAAGGAAAATGCCAATGAAGCCCGCCTGAGAAAATGTTATCATGTTCAAAACCAGAAGTACAATTCTCTGAGCATATCAACAGAAAAAAGAAACGCTTTGTCCTCTTGAGGCGTGATACCTCTATTCACATCACGAAGGCAGACAAAAGCAACATCACTGTCATTCTGAACAGTTCAGACTATGAAGCTAAGGTTCTTGAATAATAAAACAATGAACCCTATATTACCAACGAAGAAAACAAAGCGAATGCTACGTTAACAAAAAGCAAGGCTCAAGCAAGCAAATATTTGCCAACCATTAAAAAAGCTTGGCAATTTGCTGTGGTTCTCTTTGGCACCAAAGACGAATAGAGCTGCAAGATTCTATGGTTTACCAAAAGTTCACAGACCCAATATACCCATTGGCCCATTTTTTACTATACTCCGTGAGCAAAATATAGATTAGCCAAGTATCTCAGTAGTCGTTTAAAACCTTATCAAAACATTGTGGTGAGTCAAGTCAATGATGCTCATCATTTTGCCCGCATTTTACAGACTACTGAACTATAGGGCAATGAATTTGCTGTTAGTTTTGATGTGGTATCCTTGTACACGAGTGTTCCCATTAGAAACAGTTTAGATCTCTTACATTTCATACCGACCTCTGACACATCTTTAAAAGAACATTGTTTATTAACTCCACATGAAGTCATTATTGGTGCAGAACTATGCTTCACTTCCAAATATTTTACGTTCAAACACACATTGTACAAAGAGACTGATGGTATTGCGATGGCTTATCCTGTATCATCGATTGTTGCCACTCTTTTTATACACTCAACAGAATCAAAAGCCCTCAATGCACTTAGGAACCCCCGTGTCTATAAATCAGGTACGTTGACGATACTTTCACAGTCATCAAATCAGATCAAACAACAGATTTTCTTCATTGCTTGAACAATAAGTGTCACTCGATAAGATTCACGACGGAAACAGAGACTTCAGAGACAGTCATTGACTTTCTTGATTGTCGTGTGAAAATCACTGAATCTCATGCATTTCAAAAAAGCCTTCATAGAAAACCGACCCACTTAGACAGATATTTGAATTTTGATTCTATACATCCATAATGCATATAACGCGCACTTATCTCCTCAATAGCAAGCATGGTTGAAAACCTCTGCAACGCAGAGACAACAAAAAAGGATAAAATGCGACGCTTAAAGTAGGTACTTCAGGACAACAACTACCCAAAACGGTTTGTACGACACGAGCTTACCAAACTTAAGCAACCACGGAAAGAAAGGTTACAACAGAGCGGCTACCATCCAGTGGTATGCCCTACTGATCGGGACATCTGAAGTAATCAGAAATATCTTGGGTAATTACAACATCCGGGTTTTCTTCCGGATAGACAACTCAATGCAACAAAAGCTGTCCGAAGTCAAAGATCCAATTCAGACGCACGACCGAAGTAGTTGCATTTACAAGATCATTTGCAGGGATTACCCAGCAGAATATATCGGACCAACATGCAGACAGCTTTTAGGGTTAGAATTAACGAAAATCAAAGAACAAAATTCGAGACCAACTAGTGCCACGCAGTTCAACAAACTCGAACGAGATTCGGCAGTCGCACTTCATGCCATTGCCGAGAGATATCATATCGACTATGAAAACATGAAAATTCTCCGAAGAGATTTTCGAACAAACACCGAGCGCCTTTACACTGCGGCTTTGGCAATTAGTGCCCATTCTGGGTGTATACACCAAAACAACGAGGCAGGGGGTTCGAGCATCTGGACAGCGTTAAGCTCACTCGCCAGCACTCGTCCTAACGCTGATTTTACCTCAGATAACCTCGATACCGCAGACAAAGATTTTATAAACAGATGTGCTCAATGCCCGATCCGGATCGGTGACGTTCACACAGATACGGACACGGACCCACATACATATACACACACAGTGCATGAGTATTTAGTTGGTAAACTGTTCCCGACTCATTCGATTGTAAAATCGCCTTGATAAAGGTTACCCATGGTAACCGAAACATTGGCTTATTTTCACCCGTACCGACATTACTGTTTTCACAATTACAACTTATTTCAAACGTATCACACGATCGATCCGATCGATCACACGATTTTTTGACACACTCCGAACGTCGTTCGGGTCTGACACTCTAAGTAAAACAAAGTTATACAAATACAAATGTGATTTGTAAGAGAATACGAACTGAAATGAAGGGCTCTAAACTGCAATGGATCATCCAAAATGACCTCATGATTTCAAGTCCTCTGAACAGCATTCATGGTAAAATAAAACCGGTGCTCACCTCGGCCTCGACAAAAACATCCAAATAATGCCACACATTATCGTTCATCACGGGGTTTTGACTGAACTGTAACGATTTGCTGGATCCGCCCAATGTGATATCCATTCCCGGTCTACCTGACTTGAGAAATAACTTCAGCTGTACCACATTGCTCTGCAAAAACCAATGGTGGTGGAAACTTCAAATGTTTGAATAAGTGTATTAAGGCTGACAATTTTCCCCAAATTGCGTCAGTCGAATATCGCTACTGGTATTACAAAGAATTTCATTTATGGTACATAAATCATAAAGGCATTTTTGTGGACATCTTACCAATGAACCTAACTATGTGGTAAATCATGGATGACGAATAAATGTTCTCATCGAGCCCGGAAGGCCAGTCAAGTTGTTTCATTTATTTTTGGTGCCTTTGAGGAGAATACATTCTTGCTACTTATGAGTAGGCACATGAATTACTCTTTAAAAATGTCACGGTCATAATTCAGGGGCTGTCTCATACTCAGGCCTACTTCGATTCCGTCTAGTTGAATAATAAAAACGCATGATGCCACCGCGCTTCAGAACTTTGTTGATTAGGCAGTGGAATAACTTCTGTGTTTTCCACTTTTCTCTCAGATTGATTGAAAGGTGTCTGCTCTCCACACAAGAATAAATCAAAACATTTATCTCACTGTCAAAGATGCCCATTATATTACGTAGTCACTACTGATGACCTGAACTCATTTACACAAGCAATTTTTCTTTTACAAGGGAATACTTATAACGTGGCTTTGTGCAACGCCATTGAAGACATCGATCCCAAAAGTGCATCGAATAGTTTTCGTTGCAATGCGCAGATTATTACACGTTCGGTATACTTTAAATCAGTAACTCGCATGAAATACCCCTTCACTTTTGAAAGATTACATAGACAACAAAACTGTGATGCGTGCTTGCTTTCTACAGTATAGTGTGACTCACTTCTTAGTGGATGAACTGTAATTGCAATATATAGCAGTAATTCAATATCGTAACCGGATATTTTAAGAAGCGTCAGTTGGATCGTGGTCATTTGGATGCACTCGGTAGCTAAATTTGTCAGAATTCTACCCAAAAACAACACCCGTTGTTCATGTTTGCTAAGGGCAAATAAACTGAGCCAGAGTTCTCTTGATGTAATGCAATGTTAACATGGAAATCTTCATTTCTGTCGGGATAGGATAGTGGATCTTATCACGTAAATTTACTTCCTGGGCACTACATTTATCATATGGCCTGATAATGAAGGGTTTCAGACAACGATACCTATCTTGTTGAGCAGATAAGGTAAATTAAGTAAATCAGAGATTAAGCAACCGATTTTCATTAATCGTTGAATCATTAGACGCATCTTACAATAAGTCGTATGACCTCAGGTAATTATGATATACTGCAAATGTTATAGCCGTTATATTTTCTGAGAATGAGGACTCAGTTATTTGCGGGACAACAAAAACTCGCTACATTCAATTCAGGAGGTTTTTTTATATATTCTACCTTTGGCATTGGCACGATATAAGGATAGGGTCAGTAGATGGTATCCGCAATTGCACCCACATATGCACATTACGACTTAGTTTTTCCGTTTTGGGAACTACAGTTTGTTTGATAGGACTGAGATGTCGCGTTGGAATGCAACTTGCTTAGTTTGAAAAAAAAACAGATGTCCGATTGATTTACATATTTCGCATAATTCTTTAACATCCTTAAACACAAATATGGTGTAGGAAGCTGAAATTCCACCAACCTGACTGCACAAAGATACTAATGGGAAAGATGCAAACTATAAATTTACTTCGTTTTATAAATTCTGAATTCAGTTTCCTCATTCAATATGCTTTCTTGAGGTCCTCATCAAGTGTGATTCGGCACGCCTGTCGACACCGCAGTCTTTTAGGTCTACCATGGCACGGAAAGAATAAATGCCATAACTTTGTCACGTTTTTTAAACAACTGAACTTCCTCTCCATCGAACTTAAACCCAGCCCCGTTAAACTATTAAACAATCGTAATCGATCTATCGATGATTCCATCCTTTAATCCATGCACTAGACGACAATACATATCTCTTTCCTGGTTTGCACAGTACACCCACTCTTGGATGAAATACGATAACCATTTGCAGGTATTGATAAAACAGTCAATTAAAAGACCTGACCACTAAATTGCTTCCCTTAGTTTCCTGAGAAAAGTGGGTTGAAAATTTGATGTTCAAGTTCCAGATCATAGTTTTAGAAGCCTCTCCCCATAGATCAAATTTAGTCGCATTTAGTCGCATTTAGTCGCATTGTAAAGATAATCCCATAAACCTTATGCTATTGATATGTTCTTCATATGGCGATTGCAGCTCAATTAGCAAAATAAGTTATTGGATCAATTGAAGCCGTTTACCTTGGCTAATGCTCGGAGTTCGTGTCGATTATTGGAATGTACAATTGATTTAAACAGCGTGTTTGTTGCTTTCCGAACGAGAGCCAACCTGAGGCAAACGATGATTTATGGTTTGTTAAAAAAAGTACATCTTTGCAATCTGCAAAGAATTTTTCAGTCCTGTGTGGCACTGAACTGAACCGTGGGGCCCTCGAATGTGGTCATTTTTG